CCACGTATTGAGCCCCCCACTCTGTTTTCACAGGCTGCTTGCTTCTGCTTAGCTTGGCCGAATTATCTTTCCCGTCTTCCATGGCTGGAAATTTCTTGTCCGTGCCTTAAAGAGAAAAATATATAAACATGGCTGCCAAAATAATAAGAGGTTTCTTTTTCTGCTTGAACAGGAGGAAGGTTCTTATATAGTTACTTAGTTCGTTACTGTAAAATGAGAAAGGGATCTGTGATGTTCAAAACTTGCACACTTATTTTTTCCCTTTAGCTGTAAACTTGCTCTGTTTTGGATCTAGAAATTAGTTTTTGGACAGCCGGGCAACCTCTACTTCTGCGTGACATCAAGTCTGACCTCCCGCTAAAGCTGGAAGGCTTCTGAGTTACCAAGGGGAGTTCAGCCCACTGGAGAGCCCCAACATCTGCTGAGTTTCCAGATTTCTTCCTGGGAAAAGAAGGAAGGAAGGAGTCCATTAGACTTCCTGGTGACATATCTAGCAGGCTTCGTTCGCCTTTGAGCGAAATTCGCCTTTTGAGCAAAATGAAATCCTTCGGCTCCAGGAGGAAAAAAAAAACTTGGAAGAAAGTTCAGTCTCATCTTGCAAAGATCTGGGAAAGAGGTGTCTGGCATTTAAGAAGAGTTCCATCCAAACCCCCCCCCCCCGATCCTTCGTTTCCCCCTCGGTAAGATAAAAATAGGACTGAGGTTGCAGGCATCTTGATAGGAGCAGCGTTACTAATTTTGCTTCCCTCCCCCCAGGATTAAGAGAATTCCCCTTTGGATTAAACCCAAATGTGGCCCTCGAATCCATCATCCTGCTTGCCCCAGGGACCTGGTCAATGCCACTGGAACCCATATCTGAACGATTCAAAGGCCATCCCCTTGCTCCGCTTTTGTCATGTCGCAACCGGTATTTAAACATCTTTACTGCCTCGTGAAATGGAGGCTCTGTAGCCAGCTGGACTGGAGCGTGGTAAAAAAAAGCTCCATGTAGGGATACGGGTCCCAGAATCTCCCTGCAGCCAGAGGATTTGGGGAATTTTTCACCCAAGTCTTCAAGCTGTTGGATATGCCAACTAGCTTGTTGGGTGTTGTGCCCCAGAGCCTCCACATCCTCCCCATCATCTCAGCCTGGAGACCCATCATCTGGATTGCAAAGCCTTGCCCCCCTCCCCAGGATGACTTACCCTACTGCACCACCTGCTGCTCGGCTGCCCAGCAAAGGAGACCCAACCCTGCAGTGTTCATGCTGGAGCCCTCCTGCTTGCTGATCCTCCCCACCAGCGTTGCCGTTTGGCCCCGGTTTCTGGGCAGAAGGTCTGGTCGCGAGGACAGGAGAAGCTGCTTTTTGTCCCTCCAGCCGGGAGCCAGCTAAGGCGTCTCCTTCAGGCTTGCTAGCAGGAATGTGTGAAATGCACCCCAGCGAGTCAACCAGGTTTGGAGGTTTCAGGAATGAGGAAAATCAAAGGGTTGGCTTCATGTGTGTTCCTCCACGCTGCCGTGTGTGTGCATACGTCCGAGAGGCAGAGAGATCTCTTTCAAAAGACTGGCCCCTGCATTTGTTGGGTATACACATCCCAGGCCAAAGTGGCCATTGCACAAATACACACATCATGTGCAGATTTTTGGGGCAAAGCAGCCCTTGGTTTCATCCGTGCAAAGACCACGTTCTCTTACAGAACTCAGCATAGAGAATGGCCACACGCTGACGGTGTGCAATGCCGTCACGTTGAAACACATTCTGAACACGCAGGCATTGTATAAATACATGTCATCAGGCTGAAATTGTATTTCCTGAAAGAAGAAAATTTCCCCCTCCAAAAAATTGAAAAGGTGCCATAGAGAATGGTAATAATTACCACTCTTCTCCCCCCCCACACACACACACACACAGAAGCCATCTCCAAGATTTAGAAGGAGTCTTGTGGTAAACTTCAGTGAAAGAGCACCACATGTCCAAGTAACTAAAGCGGCTGTTTATCTCTTTTTGAGTTACAGACTTCTCTGGCCGCAAAATTTAGGTTTGACTTGCAGACTGAGATTTGACTTACAGACCAGAAAAAAACCAAAATGGAACAAAAACGGCCTGTTACGGGATTAATCGGTTTTCAATGCACTGTAGATCAATGGAGACTTGACTTACAGACTTTTTGACTTGAGAACCGCCTTCTAATACGGATTAAGTTCTCAAGTCAAGACCCCACTGTAATTACCACTCTTCTCCCCCACACACACACACATACACACATGCCATCTCCAAGATTTAGAAGGAGTCTTGTGGTAAACTTCAGTGAAAGACCACCACATGTCCAAGTAACTAAAGCGGCTGTTTATCTGCAACGTACTGGGAAGGGTTAAAAGAGGCTCCATTTATTGAAGAACAGAGGACGTGCAGTGGTTTCCTCAAGAGCACAGTTACTGGCCGTGTAGCCACCATAAGAGTGCAGAAAAATGACTTTCTTTGACCGTGAAACAGGTAAATAGTTCAGAGAACATGTGCGTCTAAAAATCCGGAGACCACTCTGGTACACAGTCGGTGCACATTACAACTCGTTTCCGGTCAAGAACCTGTGACTGAACATAGCTGGTGCCTAGGTTTCTGAGATGCACCACCTACGGTTAGATTTGCTCTGGGGGCGTCACTGAAAAATTATTTTGACACCCAGCTGAAATCCCTAATTTTTCACATGGCCTTTATCTGGCCCTCAGTTCATCACCAAGAATGACCATCTTTTGGGTCTGTGTAACAACCGAGCGTCCTTTCCTAGAGCTGGTTCTCCTGTTGTTTTCCTACTGCTTTTTTTTTTTTAAGCTTGAGGAAATCACTCCTTTTGGACCTGCTGAGTCTCCAACGGCCAGATTCTGGGAGCTAGAAGCCAAAAAAAAAATGAAAAATTCAAAGCTCTTGAGCCATAAGCCCATTGGGCACTTCAACCTCCCTCTGTTGCCCAGAATAGCAACGTTGGAAGGAACCTTAAAGGCGATCTAGTCCAACCCACACCAACGAAGGGGAAGTCCTTCTGGATGATGGATGGAACTCACGCATCTCACCTTCATGGGCAACGATGAGGAGGAAGTCCTTCTGGATGATGGATGGAACTCCTCACACATCTCACCCTCACGGGCAAGGATGAGGATAAAAACTCGTCTCCTCACCAACAATTTCCTGGCATGCTGAATGCAGGCTTGGCGTGGGGAAGAACTGTATTGTCTGCAACATTGACCATGTCTAGAGCATCTGTTAGAATTGCGTTTGCTTACCGTACATCTCCTACTAGGCGACAATGTGTTCCTTTTGGGTGCAATTTGCAAGGGGGGGGGATCAGTTCTCTTGGAACACCTTGAATTGGCTTTTGACTCAGAAATTACCACGAAAATTGTAAGCAGAATTAATAACTGCATGTCATTGTGTCAATTTTGACCTCTGGCGATCTGCTCCCCAGATTTTCTGGGCACAAAGCAGACTGTGGTTTGCTGGCCCCCTACTCCTTTTTGGCGCTCTGAGACTACACAAGTCTAATTAAATACTATGTAGAAACGAGCAGAATGCTAGGAAAAGTGGGAGGCAGCAGGAAATGAGATGGGTTGACTCCAAAGGAAACCACGATTTCCAGGAACTGGGCAGAGCTGCTAATGGCAGGACCTTCTGAAGGCCACGAAAGTTTTGAGGGCACACAACTCATTCGTTCAAAATACTAAGTCTTTTCATCTAAAGTTGCAATCCTTACCTCTAAGAAGCTCCATGACTGCAACGTGGAAGAAACTCCGACAATTACGGTGGGCTGCTTAATGTAAAGAAAATGGAAACTAAGCTATTCTCAAGTCATTTATTTACTATCTCATAATAGTGTACAATTATGCAAACTGCTCATTTATTTATTGCATTTCCATGATGCCTTTCTCCGAGCGTGGGGCTGGAGGCCATTCAATCTTTTATTTCTTAAGGGCAGCTGTACTGAAGCTTCGCACAAGACTGAAACAGGAACTTGTGTTAATAAATGCAGTGGAGCTTCGAAAGAAATGCTGTACAGATTTACAGTTTACCAAATCTGCGGTTGCAGAGGGAATGTTCTTCTACTTATCTTCCAGGCAGGACGAGCCCAAATCTGAAATTTAAAGCGGACTGATTTTCTGCTGCACTGAAACCATTAGAGAAGATGAGAATTACACCACAGAGGTGGCTTTTCTCATAATGGGCCAACCACTTAAATCTCAAAAATGTTTTATTTGAAATGTTCTCATGCTAGTTTGTTGCCAAAACCTTTGTGGAGCTAACCTTGCGCAAGAGGTATTTCAGTTTAAATTTATCTCATCGCTTATTGCTATCCCACCCACAACATTCAAGGACACAAGAACATTTTGGACAGCTTTTACGTTCAAACCTTGTCACTATACTTTCCTACTGCAGCCACGTGTTCAGGAGGGAACCTTTTAGTAAGTGAAATCAGATTGTCCAAGGGAACAACTATCTTAAAATAAGACAGAAGCATCTAGGCAGATAATTCCATTGTGACCCAAATTAATGTATACATTTTTTAAAAATCTATTGGCATAATCACAAATTCCAAATACAAAACAAGTATGCTAAACAATTAAATTTATTGTACAAAAGTTTATGT